TTAGAGTTAAATGCTCACAGTTCTCTCTGTTGACATATATACTTAGGTTTAAGCATTTGAACAGTCCCGTTGAAGTTATGGGATTACTCATGTACTTAACGCCCATCTTGTCCAGGATAGGAGCCTTTGTTTGTACTTTTGTATTTTTTCCAACATTTGCCTCATTGCCTTTTTCTGTAATTTTTAACAAAGTTGTAGACTTTTTCTAATTATCTTTTAGTTTTTTTTTAACTGATGTCTCCTTGGGTATTTTAAATATCCAAATAGAGATGTTGTGTCTGTATAAAATAAGTTTTGACTTCCTCATACTCTGTAGAACATGCAAACATACTATTGAACTCCACCCTCTGCTATCACTAACTTCCTTGTCCTTCCTCCCCTCCATTTCCCTTGTACACTGGAGGCTGTCTCACCAGTCCAAAGAGGAATGAATGACACACACAAGTCTATTTCAGGCCCTTATCTCAGGGCACAATTTGTTGTTTAAACACAAAACTCAAAGAATTCCCCTGATCAACATAGACTAGCTCCCAGAGGCTTTTTCCTGACCAGCCTCCCACACTATAGAACAATGCTCACAACTCTCCTTTCTGCTCACTATCTGCTCTTCAATCCCAGCAGGCAATTTTTTTGTTTTTGTTACATGCTGTCCATCGTGTGACCCTTTTGCTCTCATTTTATTCATCTGGGGAGGTGAACTAAGCTTGGCGCAGGTGCAGCTGAGTCCCAACTCCTCTAAAAGCCATCTCACCCTGTGATATGCCCTATCTCCATACATATAATTTGTCTAAACTAGAACCAAATACAAATCCTACACTAGTTAATTCTGCAAATGGTCACACTACTAACAAATGAGCAGAATTACGTGCAAAAGCATATTCCAAAGTCTTTTGCAGTGGAAAAGCTGAAGATAAAATTCTGCTGAATTTAAGCCTTTATCTGAGAAATAGAAATGTATGTTTGAGACTTCAACTAAGATAATATTATAGTGGATGTGGAAATGTGTTTCTAATCAGATAAATTTGATTTAAAGCATATCCATTAAAGAAGCATCACTGCAAATAAAAAAGAGTTGGCAGTTCCTGGTTGTCATTAATTAAGAATGCAGTAACAGTTAAAGAAAGTCCCTCTAATTATTGTGCCAACGGTATAGTAGCAGTCAATATTATTAAAATATTACAGCTAAGCATAAGAGGGCTTTGGTTAACATATGGTTAATTGTGTTGTTTGTATATTAGCTATGCACAGAGTGAGTAAATTCCATAAGGAAGATGCACTTTGCATGTGTCTGTGACTGTTCCAACTGTGTATATCACAACATCCACCTCCCTTCCTCTTTCATAAGTACACGGGTACAAAATGAATAGGGCGAGCTGCAGAATATGCAGGGAATATGGCAAGCAAGTTGCTTTAAGATATAGCAGCAGGATCCCTGTTTTATTACATGGCCTGGCATTTTGCAGAACAATTTTTTATCCTTTCTATTGCCTCACATAGCGGGAAAGAGAATTTTGAACAATGAAAAAAAATCATTAGGATTTATCCAACGTCTACGTCACATAGCAGTGAGAGCAGTTTCACACTTCGTTTCTTTGATCAACTGAATATGAAAAGTAGGTATTCCCCTGCCCTTTTTATGGTATTGAGTGATGTAGCTCTCACTAAAGGAGACAGTGGCTAATATTTCATATCACTTTTCTTTCTTGAAATTATAACAATAAAAAAAGTGAGACAGAAAAGGCCTAATAACTAATCATTTGGCTGCCAGGACAGATTGTTCTCTGGAGTTTTTTGTTCCCTAAAGTATATTTTCTATATAATAGAATTCTGTTGAAGCTGAGAGATATTATGTAATTATAGGCTTTAATCTATTGTTATAGTTTGAGCCCTTGGGTATTGTGTTAATGCTGAGATTTTCCTGGAGCATTTTTTTTATGCTTTTAGAAACAGTCTTTTCATCTGATTTCTACAGGGGAGCTTAATGACTGAGGGCCTGTATGACGCTCTGTACCTTGGGGAAACACCCTACACCCCCATGTTCATCTTTATAAAACGATTGTGTGGTATCCAATGCAAAGTTTGTCATGTTGGGTGTCTTCGGAAGGCTCATGATGCACTGATCATGGTTGTTATAGTGCTGTTATAGTAATTGTTACAAGTAATGCTATAGTAAGGTTATAGGTTATAATTTCATGTATGTAGTTATGAGGCTGAAAATGTATCTTCATGTCTTAAAATAAGCCCAGGCAAAAACTCTCCAAGAGCTGAGAGGCAATTCACACCTCATCAGGGCATGTATGGGACAAACCCAGCCCAGCCTCACAGGAACAAAGGACGCTGGCTTAGGCAGCAACAAAAGGATCTGTGGGACTCTCAAGGGAGTCACCCCTCTTCCTTTAGTCAGTTTGGAACTGCGATGAGGTAATGCTCACTGGACTCTGAAGGGTGGGGGGAAGCCAAGAGGGAAGAAAGGACATGATAAAGGGGAGAGACATTTGCCATGCTCTTCCTCTCTCTTCCACCTACATCTACAGACACCACACCAAGGCCTGGTCCACACTAACCCCCCACTTCGGACTAAGGTACGCAAATTCAGCTACGTTAATAACGTAGCTGAATTCGAAGTACCTTAGTCCGAACTTACCGCAGGTCCAGACGCGGCAGGGAGGCTCCCCCGTTGATGCCGCGTACTCCTCTCGCCGAGATGGAGTACCGGTGTCAACGGCGAGCACTTCCAGGATCGATCCGGGATCGATTTATCGCATCTAGACCAGACGCGATAAATCGATCCCAGAACATCGATTGCCTGCCGCCGGACCCGGAGGTAAGTGTAGATGTACCCCAAGTGACTGAAGCGCTGATCAAAGGGAAGAGCCTGGCTGAAGAGCAACCAGCCAGCCTGTGGTGAGAAGTATCTAAGTTTGTAAGGGCATTGAAAATGTTAAGATCAGCTTAGAATGCGTTTTGCTTTTATTTCATTTGACTAAGTCGGATTTGTGTTATAATCACTTAAAATTTATCTTTATAGTTAATAAATCT